AAATCCATTAGTCTTTCCTGCACTTTAAGTGGATCTTTTGTCATGTATTATTTTGTAAGAGCATGCATTGGTTATTGGAAAGTATTGGTTCATTGAGTTATGTAGATCTTCCAAATGTTGACACATTTAATTAAACAATTATCAAAACATTGCATGTGTTAATATCACCATCAATCTCATCTGAAAGACGTTTAAGAATTGGGAAGCTGTCAAGCGCATGATGGCAGAAACAAGTTTTCCAAAATTCTAATTTTCACTTGTTTGCTCAAATTTTATCACTGGCAACAAATATTGTCAGTTGTTTTCCTTGAAATGACAGTCTTATTTCATTCATTTTCAAGAAAATGTCTGTCAAACATTGTGAGAAAATGTCTGCCAAATCTGAATAACCATAGTTTGTCTGTCACTCAGTCTTCCAAGTAAAAATGGAATTCTGTGAAAATAGTGGCTAGTTCAGCTTGCAACTCAAACAACTGTACAAGTGCTTTTCCCCAGGACAGCCTTCATATTTTATATAGAGCAGAAGTGTTTTATTACATGTACTTTCACTTCATCACAAAGAATATTCAAAAGACATGTTCTCAAAGTTGAGATTTAACAAAATAATTGTTACTGCTTCTTTAAGGATATTTTCAAATGGAACTGGGTTATTTATTTATTTATTTATCTATTTTTACTGCGAGCATATGATCAGTGAAAAATACAGTATCTTTTGGTGCTACTGCCTTGATTCCTGCTAAGGTGCTAGCAGTTTCACCCATCAGTGCTTTTGGATCATTACTGTAAATACTACCAGAGTAAAAAAGGCAAGAAGTGTTACAGAGAGTTTAGATTCCCAGGACCCCTGAAAGGGTCTCAGGGACCCCTAGAGGTCTATAAACCACATTTTGAGAACCACTGCCTTCAATAACTGTATTTCTGACTCCTCCACTACCCTCGGATTAAAACAAGTAGCTGTATCAGCGTAAGGAAAGGAAACCTGAAAGCTCATGTCATGTCCACAGAGATGGATCTGCTTCATGTTCATTTGCCACAGCTCTGATATGGAGGGAACGGCAGGGAACAAAGACCGCCCAAACATATTCTCCTCCACCCTCCCACGCTTCTCTAAAGCAGCACTTCCCAACCTTTGTCATGGCAGGAAGAGAAAGTATTTTTATTAATGGGCAAAGGGATAAGGCTGCCTAAGGCTTGGGGACCCTTGCCTGGAGCCACAAACCCTGGAGGTACAGCCGTCAGAAGAGCAGAGGGGCTCGTAGCTGGACTTCCCAGTGGGTATGCCAACACACATGAGTTGGGTAGGTCTGTACTAAGGTTTTCAACACAGAGGGAGGCTCTCAGGACTGGGGGATGTCTGTTCCCCATTCAGCTTCAAGCTCCATAAAATTCTTAAAGCTTAGCTCAGATGTGAAAATTCACAAATTATCTGATTACACTTTATTTTTGTTGTTGTCATTTATTTATTTATTGAGACAGAGTCTCTGTCACCCAGGCTGGAATGCAGTGGCATGATCTTGGCTCACCACAACCTCCACCTCCTGTGTTCAAATGATTCTCATGTCTCAGCCTCCTGAGTAGCTGGGATTACAGATGCCCGCCACCATGCCCGGCTAATTTCTATATTTTTAGTAGAGATGGGGTTTTGCCATATTGTCCAGGCTGGTCTTGAACTTCTGACCTCATGTGATCCACCTGCCTCAGCCTCCCAAATGATTACACTTTAAGATAGAGTCCAGAGTATATTAAAGATTGAGGAAGAACTTGTCCAGAACATCTTCAGATACAATGTAGTGATTAAAAGCACAGAATCTGACTCCCAAACTACCAAGAAGTCCGAGCTCTGGCTACACCACTCATTAGCTGTATGACCTTAGGAAGGTAACTTAACATCTTGGTGTTTAAAATTCTCTACCTATAAAATGTGGACAATAATAGTGCTTACCTATTGTAAGTATCAAATGAATTTATATATAAAAGCGCTAAGGATGATGATACCTGATGGGTGGCTATATTCGTTATTATTATTATGTATGTGTTGCAGGTTCTCCTAACTCAGACTGCTGAACATGACAGTACTGAATTATAAATTTACAAAGAAAGGGAATCCAGGAGATACCAAGAGGCTAGATGTTAACCTGCAGGATTCCAAATCTGAGGAACTGTGCTTGGAACAGTGAGGCAAGAGGTGTGCAAACAGCAGAATGTGCCTGGCTTTTTCATTTTACTCATGGCATATGTCAAGGGCTTCCAATCTAAACCTTCTTTTACCTTATCAAGACACAGGTAAGTTTCTGTATTATTTTTTCCTTGGAAGGGGCCATGACTCAAAAATAATCATTATGGACTGTTAACCAATCTACTTCTTGCCAAAGACGTTTTCATGATGGTATCACGTGATTGGGCAGGTCTTGGGCTTCAAGAGCCTTCTAGAAAATTAGGACAGATGATCCAAAGCTGGGACTCTCCCAGACACACCAGATGCCTGCTTCTTTACCTTAGGTTGGATGTGTTGTTATCTTTACTTAATGGTTTTTGGCAATTATTTAGCCTGGCTCATAAGATCATTATAATTCATTAAGAGTTTTAGGTTACATCTGAAGTTGAGGGCTTTCAATTGTCCTCTTCATGCAAGAAATCAATATCTGAATTGCAGTTACAAGTTTGCAAAGCAATGCAAGATCATCATAACAAGAAAATAGTCACAACTATTTTATATATTTTATACAAATATATAACTATTTTATATATTTTATATAACTAGCTACTTAAAAACTTAGCCCTTCCTCAAACATCCCTCATAGCTTAACACTAGGATCTAACCCCACTTACCACGTCAATGCCTTTTGCAGGTCATTCAGTGCTTGCGTAATGTAATAAACACCGCACAATTACAGTCTAGATAAAGGGCAAACCTGTCCATGCAAACTCACTGACAAAAGAAGATCTGGCCAACTTGGAGAAGAAAAAAAAAATCAGCAAATAATAACATCACAAAAACTTCAAAAGAAAATAATTAACAAGGCTGGTCATGGTAGCTCACATCTGTAATCCCAGCACTTTGGAAGGCTGAGGTGGGTGGATCTCTTGAGGTCAGGAATTTGAGAACAGCCTGGACAACATGGTAAGACCCCCACCTCTACAAAAACTTTTTTTAAAAACTAGCCAGGCATGGCGTTGTGTGCCTGTAGTCCCACCTACCAGGGAGACTGTGGTGGGAGGATTGCCTGAGCCCAGGAGGTCAAGGCTGTAGTGAGCCATGATCATGTCGCTGCACTTGTTCATTGTTTAATCTAAGAGTTTAGTTTGTAGTTGCTATTGTAATCCATATTTTTGTCAAATAAGACAAAACGATTTATTTTTATAAGCGCTATTTCATTTTTCAAGATAAAGTCTCAATCAGTCTTCTTACCCATCACCCCTGGATAGTAAATAAAATGGAGATTTTGGTCCCTGATAAGTGGCCTTTTCCTATTACTAAGACTCCTAAAACAATGAGCATATTTTTAAAATGCAGATAAAACTCAGTGTCTGTTCCAAAAGAGACCATCTTTGCCTTCCTCCCCCAAGATTCAACACCCCTGTCTTTTCCCGTTCCCCACTGGGTCCTCTTCTGCAGAGAGTGGAGGAGCTTCATCTTTTGGATATACAAGATTCTTCTCAAGTTGATTTTTTCTTGCAAAATAAGTCAAACCTAAGTGGGAGCCTTAATAGAATTTTGTTAGGAGATGTTAGGTTATCAGGACCTTAAACATTGATCCAGGAGAGATCTGAAAGGTCCATATCACCCAGAATGACTTTCACTAACAGAAATCAACATTACCACCCTATCGGAGGATCCTCATTGATCCTAAACTTCACTGGTTCTGAAGTGCTAAATAATTGCTTTTTTGAGATGGAGTCTCGCTCTGTCGCCCAGGCTGCAGTGCAGTGGCGTGATCTCGGCTCACTGCAAGCTCCGCCTCCTGGGTTCACGCCATTCTCCTGCCTCAGCCTCCCCAGCAGCTGGGACTACAGGCGCCGCCACCACGCCCGGCTAATTTTTTGTATATTTTGTGGAGACGGGGTTTCACCGTGTTAGCCAGGATCGTCTCAATCTCCTGACCTCGTGATTACCGGCGGGAGCCACCGCGCCCGGCTGTCACTAGCTTTTAAGAAAAGCACTCATAAAATGGCCGCAGGTATACGTATTTTGTCTTTTCCCTTACTGAAAAGCAACTGTTCTTTAGTTACCTAAAAGTCAAGATAAATCAGAGACCAGCTAGAATGATAAATTAAGCATGTCCATCGAGAAATTAAGCTTAAAATTCTATCTAATTTGAATATGTTTTCCTCAAGATTTGCAATCAATACATTGAATATCCATTGAGTACTGAGAATTCCAGATTTTTTAAGGCAGAATTCATATCTATAATGAATCTGCAGTCAAGATCTTTCTCAGTTATATGAATGTGTGCATATACTGGTAAACATTTTTTCTCTGTTGAATATATTATTTATTATATAATATAAATGTCACAGTTACAGAAATTCACCTTCCTTGACCCTGGCCCTGGTAGGTCCGATGTTATGGCAATAACAGATGGGCAATGAGTACAAGGGGTGGAAATTATTTTATGTGATGCTTCCTTGGATCATGCTAGCATTATTTCATCTTCCTTTTTCCCACACACTAACTCTCACCTCAAATATTTTTCCAAAATCTCTTATGTTTGACTTTTACAAAACAGCCCCAAAATGGATTTTATTTTTGCTTCTAGCAACAGTTGACAGTTCTCTCTGCATTTCTAATTTTGCATTAGAGCCCTTCTAAGTGCAAATTTTGTGCCAATATCTATAAAAAGCACATGGCAAATATAGATGAGTATTTCCCTTAATGAGACTTTTAAATCGGTTCTGACTCTGTGAATGGTATTTTAAAATCTGAAACGGGCAGAGAGGAAAACATGAAGTATTTTAACATGTGAAAAGGCCAGTGAGTCTGGACGTGCCTGGATACTTACTCTCTCACACAGCTCTTCAAATGTGCAGTCGGCAATGGTTCCACAGGCTTTATTCAGGCGCAGCTCTCTGCCTTGCACTTTTAGAATCCTTGGTCTAGTTACTATGGGAACATGAACAAAGACTCAATCTTGTCTGGATAATTACTATAAAATTCATCTCTTACAGATAGGAAATGCATAGCTTGATGAATAATAGCACATGATTCAACACATAAATTAGACAAAATGCTGATACAATGACTGCCACTTGAGCGTGGCATCAACCCATATACAGCAATGGAACTTATTAATTGGTCAGTGGAGATTGGGCATTGTGTTCTAAATGTATTCTCTTTCAAGAGAAATTAACTTACGTACAATCATTTTGTTTCTGAGCCAGCTCATCAAACAACTTATCCATGACAGCCTCCACATCAGCTTCACTTGTGCTACAGTGAAAAGAATAATAGAATATGAAATTAATAACACTTGAAGCCAACATCAAACAGCTGCCTGAGTCTGCTTAGCTTTTTGCCCATAAAAAAAAAAAGAACAGGATGTTATGCTCTAAATACAAACATTAGATTTAGAATACACTTAAAAGCAGAGAATATTAACTCTCAGGTAGATGATTCTGCCTTATTTGCATACACTGAAAGACTTCTGTGCTTCTAGCTGTTTCCAGTAATGAGACGATACAGGCAGAGTAAATCCATTAATACCATGTGTACACAATGAGAAGAAAGCTTCTGGCTCTCTCTTGCATGCAAAACAAGAGCAAATAGACAAGGCAGTCAAGCATCCAGCAAAGTATCCTTTGAAATCTCTACTGAGAGGGTACATGTGAAATTAAATATTGAAGCTGCATTTAAAAAAAAATCAAGTCAAGCCACTGACTGAGAGGATCAAACCTCCAGAATTAAATTACTACCTTCGAAATACCAACTTGATCTGCACATCAATAACTTTGTCAGACTTCTAGTATAAGGACAATTATAGACCACACAGTTTCTCTCAAAAGTCTCCTTGTTGGAAACTGAAGAAAACTCTCTCCTTCTGTGATGCCCACTGTTACAGCTACTATGAAGTTAGTCTCATCACAGAATCTTTTGTATTCTAATTAGAAATCACCATATGGTTTAGGGAACTCATATATAAATGTGATGATGCTGTGGCCTTTTTCCTCTCACCTTTTTTTTTTTAAGAGGGGTGGTAAATTAACAGTCAATAAAATAACTGGCAGAAGAAATACACTGTTAAAAAGAGCTTCAAGTAAAAATGTAAGTTTACTTCAACTCCACATACAAACTTTTACAGGATGACCTGCCAACATGCTTAATTTTGACACACAAATCACTCTTACGTTGTAGTGGAAGCAATTAAGCTAAATTCTGGACATCCATCTTACTAAAGCCTTATTAAAAATTAGTATGACAGGTTATCTTTTATTTAGATTAAGCTTAAACTAAACAACTTCTCCCTTGAGATAATTTTTAACACACAAGCACCTAATTCTGCAACTGTTCTAGAGCAAATGTCTTTAAAATGCAACAAAGCACATAGCTATTATGAAAGATTGAAATTGTCACATTCCAGGTAATAACCACTCCACCTCAAAGGACGTTAAAAACATCATTCGCAATAGCCAACTTTGCAGGAGAAATGCTATTTGACTTCCATGAGGTCTGGTATCATATTCAAATAGAGTGGTATTAAAATAATGAAATGACACTATAGAAAGTAATTTTAGAAACAGAAGCAATCTTAAAGGTAAAAGAAATCACACAAACCAATGTAAATGTCAATGCCCATGCCAAGCACATGTCTGTTTAGATACTATTCTTGAGAATTCATTTGGAACCAACACCACCTTTGGTGTATACAAGCAAAAAAAGAAAAAAAAAAGCTTAAAAGTGAGCTACTTTTTGAGCCCATATAGCCAAGACAATCTTAACAAAAAGAACAAAGCTGGAGGTATCATGCTAGTGAACTTCAAACTATACTACAAGGCTACGGTAACCAAAACAGCATGGTACTGGTACCAATACAGACACATAGAACAATGGAACAGAATAGAGATCTCACAAATAAGACCACACATCTACAACCATTTGATCTTCGACAAACCTGACAAAAACAAGCAATGGGAAAAGGATTTCCTGTTTAATAAATGTTGCTGGGAAAACTGGCTAGCCATGCGCAGAAAACCAAAACTGGTTTTACCCCTTCCCTACACCTTATATAAAAATTAACTCAAGATGGATTAAAGACTTAAATGTAAAACCCAAAACCATAAAAATCCTAGAAGAAAATCTAGGCAATATCATTCAGGACATAGGCATGGGCAAAGATTTTATGATGAAATCACCAAAAGCAATTGCAATGAAAGCAAAAATTGACACATGGGATCTAATTAAACTAAAGAGCTTCTGCACAGGAAAAGAAACTATCATCAGAGTGAAAAAACAACCTACAGAATGGGAGAAAATTTTGTAATCTACCAATCTGACAAAGGGCTAATATCCAGAATCTACAAGGATCTTAAACAAATTTATAAGAAAAAAGAAAACAAACAATCCCATCAACAAGTGAGCAAAGGACGTGAACAGACACTTCTCAAAAGAAGACATTCATGCGGCCAACGGACATATGAAAAAAAGCTCAGCACCACTGGTCATTAGAGAAATGCAAATCAAAACCACAATGAGATAACATCTCATGCCAGTTAGAATGGTGATTATTAAAAAGTCAAGAAACAACAGATGCTGGTGAGGCTGTGGAGAAATAAGAACGCTTTTACATTGTTGGTGGGAATGTAAATTAGCTCAACCATTGTGGAAGACAGTATGGTGATTCCTCAAGGATCTAGAACCAGAAATACCATTTGACCCAGCCATCCCATTACTGGATATATACCCAAAGGAATATAAATCATTTTATTATGGGATAAAGATAAATGCACACGTCTATTTATTGCAGCACTATTCACAACAGCAAAGACAGGGAATCAACCCAAATGCCCATCAATGATGGACTGGATAAACGAAATGTGGTACATATACATATGCAGTACTATGCAGCCATGAAAGGAACGAGATCACATCCTTTGCAGGGACATGGATGGAGTTGGAAGCCATTATCCTCAGCAAACTAACACATGAACAGAAAACCAAACACCACATGTTCTCACTCATAAGTGGAAGCTGAACAATGAGAACACATGGACACATGGAGGGGAACAACACACACCAGGGCCTGTCAGGAGCAGGGGGGAGGAGGGAAGAGCATCAGGATAAATAGCTAATGCATGTGGGGCTTAATAGCTAGGTGATGGGTTGATCGGTGCAGCAAACAGCATGGCACACACTTACCTATGTAACAAATCTGCACATCCTACACATGCACCCCAGAACTTAAAATATATATTTTTAAAAAGTGAGCTGGTCGGGCATGATGGCTCATGCCTGTAATCGTGGCACTTTGGAAGGCTGAGGTTGGCGAATCACCTGAGGTCAGGGGTTTGAGACCAGCCTGGCTAACATGGTGAAACCCCGTCTCTACTAAAAATACAAAAAATTAGCCGGATGTGGTGGCATGCGCCTGCAATCCCAGCTACTCAGGAGGCTGAGGCAGGAGAATCGCTTGAACCCCTGAGGCGGAGGTTGCATGAGCCAAGATCATGCCATTGCACTCCAGCTTGGACAACAAGAGCAAAACTCTATCTCAAAAAAAAAAAAAAAGTGAGCTGCTTTTTAAGGAACATAGCGAAAACAGAGCAACACCACCCACTCGGTATGGTCTGCAGTCATTTAGAAAGTTAATCTTTCCTTAGCACAGGCACGTTACACAACATAGGGGGAAAACTGAATTCTGAAAAACAACCAAGAAAGAAGACAGGCCTCCAAAAGCATATTTGGTGAATAAATAATTCCTTACAAACTTCCTCAGTGGTGATTTCTTTTTTACTCTGTGGTCTCGTATATACTATAATATCAAAATGTGACTCACTGAACTTCAGTCAGGTCACCTCTCCTAAGTCACCTGTAAAATTACAATACCTGATTTTCTATATAGTGAAATTACATGTGAAATATCACAAAATTATTTTTATTATAACAGTGTCTTATAAGAATTCTATTATAGTTACTCAGAAGTTACAAAATGCAAAATAAAAAATTTTATTGGTATAATCCAGGCATGGTGACTCATGCCTGTAATCCTGGCACTCTGGGAGGCGGAGGTGATCAGATTACTTGAGGCCAGGAGTTGGAGACCAGCCTGGACAACATGGCAAAACTTTATCTCTACAAAAAATACAAAAATTAGCTGGCATGGCAGTGCATGCCTGTGATCCCAGCTACTCAGGAGGCTGAAGCACGAGAATCCTTGAACCTGGGAGGTGGAGGTTGCAGTGAGCCAAGGTCATGCCACTGCACTCTAGCCTGGGCTACAGAGGGAGACCGTGTCTCCAAAAAAAAAAGAAAAGAAAAGGAAAAAGAAGAAGAAGGGAGGGAGGGAGGGAGGGAGATTGCGCCACTGCCCCCCAGCCTGGGCGAGAGAGCAAGATTCCATCTCAAAAAAAAAAAAAAAAAGATAGCTCAGTGGACAAGAAGCATATGTAAAATCATTCTTTTTTTTTTTTACTAGTAATAACAACTGCGAAGTAAAATAATAAGATGCCATTCTTCTATCCAAATTGGCAGAGAGAAGGAAAAAGATAAACTATCCCAAGCAAGGAAAATGGATATTCGTTTAAAAAAGTATTTTAAACGTTTTTGTTGTATATGTTAAGGTGTACTACATGATGTTTTGATATACACAGTGAAATTATCACTACAGTCAAACAGATGGACACATCCATCATCTCACAGTTACCTTTTGTGTGTGAGGGGTTGGGGGTGGTAAGAGCACCTAAAATCTTCTTTTAGCAAATTTCCAGTGTACAATACACTATTTTCAACTACAGTCCTCATGCTATATATTTGATCTTTAGACTTAGTCATCCTTTGTAATTGCAACTTGCTACCAAAAGAGACCTGCCTCTCCTCATCTATTCCCCTTCTCCTCACTCAACCCCCCATCCCTGGTAACAACTACTCTATTCTATTTCTACATATTTGATTTCTCTGTTTCTAATTATTTGACTTTTTTTAAGAAGATTCCATTTATAAGTGAGATCTTGTAGTATCTGTCTGTATCTAGTTATTTTACTTAATATAATGTCCTCCAGTTTTATCCATGTTGTTGGAAATTGCAGGATCTCCTTTTTTAAGGTTGACTAATATTCCATTGATTTCATTGTGTATATAGACCACAATTTATCCATTCATCCATCAATGGACACTGCATCCTTAGAGACTTTTAAACATAATGCTTTCCCAGTATGCTCTGTTCTGTATAATGACTCCAGAGGAACTTGGGAATATGAAAAGAGAAGAGTAAGCAAGTT